AATTCTGGAGAGCAATCTGATTTGTCTAACAACCGTTCCATTAGTCTTCTTCCTATCATAAGCAAGGTTTTTGAATCTTTAATTAACAAACACTTAATCTCTTATCTTGAATTTATTAACTTACTTTCTGATCATCAATATGGATTTCGATCTTCTTGTTCTACCGCTGATTTGCTAACAGTAATAACCGATAGGTTTTATCATGCATTAGATAAAGGTGGAGAGGTTAAGGCCATCGCTCTTGACATTTTTAAAGCGTTTGATAAAGTTTGGCATGCTGGTCTTCTCCATATGCTTTCTTTTTATTGTTTATCTGGAAACATCTTTAAGATTTTTGAATCTTACGATAACCATGTTTTTGCACCTTGTCTAAAAGAGAAAGGCCATTATTAGATAATTCGTTCAAGATATTGCAACAGTATTCCATACTAGGCCGGATTTGAGATTTATAGAAATAAAAAATAGAATCAGGAGTAAGAAAGTGGAGAGCATGATAAAGAGATGCAACCTTAGCAGATGCTAATTTGAATCATTTTGAGATATTGTTTCCAAGATAGAATGAAAGTAAGAGTTAATCCTAGGAGATAAAGGGTAGATGACTCAATCAAGTACATTACAGAAATGTAGGAAGATCTAGGTTATTGCTACAACAATTAGCTGAAAAAAATTGAGTTTTATCTGAGTTAAAGTTCACCAGCCACTGTGAGTCCTATAATGCAGTAGAAGTGGGATCCTCTTCATGCTCAAATGCCCCCTCCAAGCAATCAGAGAGTGTTGGCTTCTTATCAAGACAAAAATAAATGATAGTATCATCAGCAAACAATGCCACACTAGATGTGAGAATATCTGGAAGATCATTAATGTAAGTTGAAAAGAGTATAGGGCCAAAAATAGAACCTTGAGGAACCCCTGAAGAAGAGTGTTGTCCATCAAGGACAACTTTAATACTATGATTGGTAAGGAAGGATTCAATAATCTTAAAGATGTTACCTGATACACCATAAGAAGAAAGCTTATGGAGAGGATTAGCATGCTATAGTTCATCAAAAGCTGTCAAGAAATGTCAATAGCAATGGCCTCAACTTCTCCACATTAATCTAATGCACAATAAAATCTTGCTCTTAATAGTAAGACTAATAGGACAGTAGTTAGACAAGTCAGATCGCTCTCCAGAGTTTTTGAAAATAGGGTAACAGATGACATTTCCTAACAGGCTGGAAAACAAGACTCTGATAGGCACTTGTTAAATAGTTTTGAAAGTATAGACAACAGCTCCAGAGAACACTTCTGCAATACTATAAAAGATATGTTTTATGGACCACAAGCTGTTGAAAAGCCTAAGCAGGAAATCACTTTAGATACAGAAGCTTAAGTGATACAAATGTCAAGCAATGGATCAACCTGTTTGTTGGCTATATCAGATAGAATGCAACTAGTGGAATCAAAAGATGGTATTGATGATAAGTTCTTAGCAAACAATTCAGTTTGTCATAAGGCGAGGTGACAAAATCTAAATCATACAAGAGAGGTGGAATAACAGATTTGCCCTTATTATAGATACTGTTAAAGATTCTCCATAAGTCACAAGAGCCTAATTTTTGAGATATAATACTAGATTTTGTGGCCTAAGAATAGAGGGCTTTGGCATTAGACACAAGCAAAACCCATGCATTGAGTTAAAAAGATCTGGCATTTGACATCTTAAACTGGAAACGATGTATTATAAATACATTTGCGCCAGCCTAATAGATGATGAATTGATGCGAGGCTGGATAAAATCTGTTTGCCCTATATATCATTGCATAGGAGGTCTTTTTAAGACAGTAGCTGGATGCATTTAACGTCTGCCTAAAATGATTAGTTTTTTTGAGACAATATCTTGCCTTTACTGAACCAATAGCCTCAAGGCAGGGGGTTTTTTAAGTTGGAGTTTGCTTCTCATAGCCTATGCCTAAAAAGCATATCCTACAAGGCAGCATGACATGATGCAGGTTCTTCTGAGTTAAATCTTACCAGTAGCAAGATAACTTGACCTTTTTTTCAATCTTGTTTATTCGGTCAGGTTTGGTATTGTTTTTGGAATTTGCTAATATGCAGATATTTTTAAAACCATTTTTAAAGTTTAACCTGCATAGGCAAATGTTGAAACGCAAAATTTCAATTTTTGCCTTTAATACTTCAAGATAATAAAAATTCTTTAAAAAGTTAAATAAAACCATTTAATGTAAAAACATGGTTGTAGATTTAAATCTGCAGAGTTTGTTAGAGCAATTCAAAATTAAATTTCTTTTCATAAAGTTGCCACAGATAATTGTCATGCTTACCCTTGGTAAGGTAGCCACAAAATATTTTTTAAAATAAGTTTAAATTAGTTTTTGATTATTACATAAGTGAAGATTAGTTCATTTTTTTGACTTATTTTTTTTAATTTTTAAGATTTTGCTTTATTTTCTTAGCAAAGTCTAGGTGTCAGATAGGCCAGGTGTCAAATAGCAAAGACCAGGTGTCAGGTAAATACGAAAAAATTCATTAATGGGTGAAAAATTCTATTAAAAAATATATGCAGTATCACAACTTTAAAAAAAAAAAAAAATGAACTGTTCAACATTTTATATTTATATTTACCAATAGCATATAAAGTTTAAATACTTTTTATAAAATATACCAGCCAAGTTTCTTCTAAATGAATAGTTATAAAATTGATAAAATTTATGCTTAAAATATTGAAAAATATTGAAATATCTAAATACAATATTATTATTTTACAATTTTTAATAAAAATTTAAATGTTTTATATTTAAATGACTTAATCAATAAAACAAATCACTTGATAAAACAATCGGAAGTTGTTTTTTAAAGTTATAAAAAATTTATGTTATCCATACTGTTTATAATTGTATAAAACTGTATAAAAAATTTAATTCATGTTAAGTAAACAAACATTAAAGGGAATTAAAAGAAAGATGAGTACGATTACTTATATCTGGTGGGATTTTTTTTTTAAACATCATTGGTTTCAACAAGGCTGCAAGCAACCACTAATTAGTGTTGGAAGTTACTGGAAGAGAAAAGAAGAAGATTCTAGAGCAAGATAACGATTGACAGACGACTTAAAAGATTGCAAATTACATGATTCAGGAAAGCAAGATGAAGGATACAAATTCCAGAGAACTGATGTTCGAGTTGAAAAACTAGAGGAATAAGAGTTTTTGGAGCACTTAAGTTAGATACCAAATTTACAAACCTCAGCTGCCTCTTCATTAGCATGACAATAAACTAACTGTTATTCAATCCATTAAATCTTCATAAATTCTTATTGATCTAATCATCAGTAAATCCATTGGTTGTAAAGATTATTGTTGGTTCCTTTAGGAAATAGACCATAAGATCACTATACTCCCCTGGCATCATTAATTGATTAATGTCTACATCAACTATTATTGCTAATTGACTAATGTTTACATTCAACTATTATTCCTTTAATTGTTGAAATGTCTGATTCTAAAAAATAAAAATGTATTAAAAAAAGAAGAGAAAAAAAGAGTTGTAACAGCAACTGGAATATCTTTTTAGAATAAAAGCACTCCAAGCTATTTAAGAAAGGAAACTCAAGTGAAATTTGTTTATTTTAATTCAATTTAGTCAAGATTAAGAATAATCAAACTATTCTTCATCTGTAGTTAGTATAACATATTCGTATTCTTCATCCAATCTGTAGTTAGTATAACATATTCGTATTCTTCATCCAATCTGTATTAGTATAACATATTCGTATTCTTCATCAAATTTGTAGTTTTTGAATTGAAAAAGGTATTCTAATCTGTTTTTTCTATTGAATCTTATATCAAACTCTACTTCTGTTTGGCAAATGCTCATCTGCTTCTCTTTTTAACTATTTATTCAATTATGTACCTGTTCAAAGATACTTTGTGACATTTAACAGCTATAACTCTACTGATGAAGATCAAATAAGTTCTTACATTTTTAAACCATGTACTAGCCCATCTCGTGCTATGATTTTTTACGTGGGACTAACAAATTGTATCAAAGCCATGGCTTATAACACATTTCTACTCCATTTTTTCAAAATGTCTTTAAGAACTAATTTACTACAGATCAACTTTTATTGCTTTTGTACCATTTAAAATAATAAAAATAGCTAAGGATAAGATAAAGATGAAGGATAAAAATAAAGGATAAAGATAAGGTCAGGCTTACTAATATGTAACAATTTTTTTTCTGGCAATACAGATTTATCAGCTAAAAATTCAGTGTTACAAACTTACTGAACATTATGAACTTATTAAATGACAGTGTTGATGTTCTTTTCTTGATTTTATTAAAACATTTGAAAATGTTATTCACCAAAAGGTTACTTAAATGAATGATACAAAATTAGAACCAATGTTTTCAATTAGATTAATGCCTTTCTTTCCTTCAGAGCACAATATGTCCTACTTGGTTATCTTGCATTCGATTAGGATTATATTACCAGTGCCATACTTCAAAATTCAGTTCTTGATCTAACACTTCTTATAGTCTAACATTTGCTAGAATACATTACCAGCAAAAGTATTCATTATAATTGAACATTTTTGTGAACATACATTGTCTGCAAGCTGATATTGATAATGCTGAGCAAAGAGACAACCTTTTTGCTCAACATTATGAAACATTAATGGCGTAACATTATTCAAAATTAATGACTAAAAATGTTTTTTTATTAATTTTTCTTAATGTTTTGTTTTTCTTTTTTCTTTCATTTTCAAAAAAGATCATAATTTTTTAAATGAATGCCAGCTAAAAAACTTTTTTTTATAATCGAGTAAATAATTAATAATACCTTTTTAACTCTTGCGTACTATTAAAACTTTTTTTTAGTTTTCTAGTTGTTACTGAAATAAAATAAAAAATTAAAAATAACTTTCTATTGACAATATTATTATATTTGACAATAATGTGAAATATAATGTAACAGTTTTTTCTTTTTTTCTTGTAAGGCTGATGTATGTGGTTTAAACAATAGCATCGTTGTCGAACAGATTTTTTCAGAGCTTTTGCTTTGTTTTGATTCATGGAACTCATCTGCAAAGAATGTGCAAATTTTAGAAGAGTTATCATCACTGCTTCTTGTTCTTTTTAATAAATGGAAAGAGTAGGTTGATATGTTCCTTTAATTATTATTTAACTTCATAGTTATGGTATTTCAATATATATTATATTGTTGTACAATTTATTAAAACATCCATACTTTATACATAAATAAAACTTTAAGCTATTTATCTATTAATGCAAAAATTTAAAAACATTTCTGTTGTTTTTTCATGTAACTATTAAATTATTAACTCTAGTTTTATATATATATATATATATATATATATATATATATATATATATATATATATTTCAGAAAATTAGTAGAATACAATAAACACGTAGAAATTTTAGCTGATATTATGGAAGGTTTATCAGAGAGTATTTTTGATGGAGAGGCAGTCTCTACAGTGTTCATAAATTTGTTTGCAATGGCGAGTAAATTCCTCCAGTGTATTTCATCAAAAAAATGTAATTTTAAAGAATTTTTGTTGTTACAGTTATTTTGATGTTAGAGTTATGTTTTGATGTTTTTTTTTCTGATTTTTAGATGATCAAATTGTTTTAAATCGGTTTTTAAAACTTTCTTGTAACCAGCTGGCATATATTAGACTGCAACATCCTAAATTGGGAGAGGCATTATATAAGGTAAATTTTTTTTTTAGGTAATTTATTAAGAAAATTTTATATAAATAATTTTATTAGTACTTTTTTATTAAACTTTTATTAGTATTTTTTTGATACTATGCTTTGTTTTTTAGCAATTTAAAAAATAAATTGAAATTGTTAAATTGAAACCATAAGAAATTGATTTAATTTTTTTTTTTCATCAAAGCAAAATTGGGATCTATTTTTTCATATTAGAAATTACTAATTTTTGTTTAAAAATACTTTATTTTAGTAAAATATAGTCTTTACGAACTAAAGGAAGAATAATGGATGAACTCTTAGGAATGTAAATGCATAGGCCAAAAAATGCTACATTTTTTTCTAGCTGTAACTGTAACAGCAACTAGAATAAGGAACATGAACCTTGTTCGTCAAGGTTCGTTTTTCGGAATTATAGAGTTGAGAGACAGTTATAACCACAAATAAGTAGGCTCCTTGTCTGTAGTGGCCTTCTCGGCCTTGAGGAGGTGAATTAAAAAAATAATAATAATAAATTGTTCTTTTGGTAAAATGTTATTATTATAATATATAGCACTATATTCAAAAATGACTTACCTGTACCACAAAAACGCCTAATGCGAAATTAAAAAAAAAAAAAGTGACAGGCAACTCAAAACATTGGTAGGCAACTGACGTTAACGAAATTTTAACTCTTAGTTTCATGGCGGGCGACCAACCATAATCCATTTGTACATCACTAATCTATCCTATCCATTTTTTAGAAAAAAAAAAATTTTGGTTTAAGATACTTTATACATATAATAAGTAACTAAAAACAAGTAGATTTAATTAAAAAAATCAAAAGCATTGATTAAATTTAAAACTTTGAATGTCTTTCTCTCAGAACAGCCAAAATGGACTTTAGATGGTCTTGTTTTGCAGCAATTCTCATGAACTTAAATTTTTTATTTTTTATTTGTTATGTTATGAAAAAAGTAACATATTTTATAAGTATTTTAAAAACAATTTGGTTTAATAAAGAAGATCAAACGCAGTGATGAATTAAAAAATGCTTTTTTATCAGAACAGCAAAAATGGACATAAGATAGTCTTGTTTTGCAGCGGCAAAACGCTTTTTTCTCAGAACAGCAAAAATGGATAGTCTTGTTTTGGAGTAATTTTTATGAAACCACCTGCGGTTGAGGAAACTTTTTATGTATTTCAAGAAAGTAAATTTACCCCCCAGCTTTTAAAAAAAAAAGTAAAACCATGATTTTTTTTTTAAAAAGGCCATGTTTTTTTTGACATTCAAAAGAGTAAAGCTAATAACTAAACAACTTTTATTAACAAATTAAATACAGAACACTTAGTAATCTGTACAAAATATACAAAAAATGTTTAAAAAATTTTGTTTTCCTATGAACTTCATATTCAAAAACTTGGCCTTTTCCGATTTTGACATCAAGTTCCATTCAACATGAAGTTTCTTTCATCAGTTTTAGAGCACATTCGGTAACTTGGTTAGATCTGGGAATGTTAATAAATGACTCCTCTAGTGACCAATGTGTCTTTAAACACTTAATTAGCTTCTTGCATTTCATCTTGATGAGTGAGGTAAGCAGTTCATCAAAGGACGCTATATTGTAATATTGCAAATGGAATCACGCATTTGTCCATTTGTAGCAGATGAAGTTACATGTTGGAGCGAGGATGCTGTGCCACTCTGGTATCTACTATAACAGTATACTGTGCCACTCTTAAATAATACTAAAACAGTATATTGCATGTGAGTTCCATCTTGCCTGATATAAATTTCTTCCAGCTGATTCAAGGCCAATGTAAAGTTGTTTTATAATGACGGTATGTCTGACATACTTCATATAAGAACTTGAAATCATCTTGCCATCCCGGGTTCTGACCTGTGTTAACATCATCTATCACAACGAGGCAGAAATCAGCCTGAAGGGAGACAGTTTTCTGTTAATTTTTCAATGAAGAAGTAATTGAGTTCTGGTTTGCTTGTTGGCTCTTGAATAAAAAAATTCATGAAATGTTTAGAAGGAGGTCAAGTACATGGTGCTGACAGCCAATATATTGTGGTTTCTGAAAGCTCTTGATCGAGACATAATACTGTATGAGCTTTACCATCCCATGCAAATGACCAGTATTTACTGCAATCTTGTCACAGATTATCATGCAAATATTTACTCAAGCATTGTATTTATCAACTAGCTGATGTTGTTCCTTGTGTCATTAATTAGCTGATGTAGTTCCTCCTCTCTTAACTTGCCTCTGGTCTCTTTATCCTCTGTGCTTTTTCATTCTCCATAAATGTTGGTGACATGAAATAACTGAGACAGTGTTGCAGTGAATTTAACAGATGGTTTCTTTTTTTCCCTCCAGAGCAATTCTATATCCAAAATCATATTTTTGATTCGAATTAGTCACAGTTTCTGGCTATTAAACAGAAAAGTGAATTTTCCAAAAATTTGATGGTTTGTCAGCATCTGTGTAAGATTGGTTAGCGTTTCAACAGATCCTTGTAATCCTAGGAGCCTTTTTTTGTTTAGAAGAGGAGGGTAGATTCTTTATCTAAATGCACCTGTTTGACTTTACACTAATGCTGGAATTTCTATTAGACCTTTTATTTTGGTTTAAAGGTGATTTAATGTCTTGCACTTTTCTTCCTCTATGTAAAACTTGCAATTTTAGACTGAAAACAAGATAAATTACCTAAAATAATCAAAAATATATCCAATCTTTCAAAAAATTTCAGAATATATATTATATATTTGCATCTGACACAGAAAATAAATAAAATGTAACAGAGAGATCACTCTCAGACCTCAGGGGTTCACTGCTTGAAAAAGTAATCACAATGCATTTGTAAAAAAGCAACGTAGAAGAGCATTTGTTTAGAGGTTGCCTTGAGCCACGGATCTCTAGCTTCTGAAGCAGGCACACTAACCACTGTGCTATGGCTGCTATAAAGAATCTACAATCAGACAGACCAACGTAAAACCTATAAAGCAGAGGCACCATAAGGTTTATAAAATTTAAACTGAAGCTAATTAATAAAATAAAAAAGTTATAAAGTGTGCAATAATAAACTTTTGGTTTTCCAGAGCTAGTAAGTACCAGTTCCTTCAATTTCATAGCGAAGAATTTCAAATATTCTTTGTGCCAGCTAGGCTGATAAGGCAAACGGTTTAAGCTTGTATCTTATCTTTTTTTTTTTTTTTTTTTATTTGCATTCACTCCCAACAAGGCTGCAAGCAACCACTATTAAGTTGGGAGTTACTAGGGAAAAAAAAGAACAGAGTTATAGAGCAAGGAAATGGTTGACAGAAGACTTGAAAAGTTGAAGGTTGTATGACTCAGGAAAACATGAAGATGGGAGAGAGTTCCAAAGGATTGAAGTGCGGGAAAAAAAAACTAGATGAATAAAAGTTTTTAGAGCATGCAGGGACAGATACAGTAAACGAATGAGACTTAGCTGAATGACGAGTAAAACGAGAATGAATTTTAGTTGATGAAACTAGAGATGATAACTCCTTTGAGCAGTGTCCATGATAGTATTTGTAGAAAAGAGAAAGAGATGCAACTTTACGACGATGGGAAAGAGGTTCAAGTTTAGCAGATAGTCCAGGTCCAACAACATTTACAATGCGTTTTTAGATCTTGTCAAGAAGAGAAAGTGAATCGTTAGAAGAACCAGCCCAAATATGACAACAGTATTCCATACAGGGACGAATAAGAGATTTGTAGAGGTAGAGAATGGAATCAAAAGTAAAGAAATGGCGAGCACGATAAAGAGAAGCAACCTTAGCAGAAGCTAATTTAGCAATCGATTGTATATATGGTTTCCATGAAAGGTCAGTAATAAGCGATAATCCAAGAAGACGTAAAGAGGAGGACTCAGTAAGAGGATTGCCATTCATTAATATAGGAATGTTGACCATATTACGGTAGTTGTTTTCAGTAAACAACAGTAAACAACTCTGATAATGTTCTGAATCCTACATGAGTAAAACTTTGTCATCTCCGGAATTTGCCCTGGAGAAAGTTTTATTATTTGAATTGCTCCTGTTTTCCAATCTTAGACGGTATACCCAAGTCAATCATGGGCAGAGCCGGCTCTTGAGCATTTCTTAGTGTGTGCAAATAAAAATTGCTGCCCATAATAATGATCAAATTTTATCAGAAATAATGATCAAACTTTATCAGAATTTTTTTGGCAACTTTTTATTTACTGTTGATCTGAAAACTTGCCGCCTGTGTGCTTTGCTCACTTTGCACACGCCACCAGCCGGCACTGAAATATTAAGTTCTTTTTTACATTCTTAAGTAGACCATCGTTGATTACAATATTACATGGGTCAAAATTTGTTGAGGATGGAAATAAAAGATGGCTATGGGCCACCAAAAAATACGTTTTGCAGTGTAGTAAACATGGAATCTGTAAATAGAATGCATAAAGAGTGCAATAAGGCATAAAATACAATATCTTTATCAATATCTGCAATACACTGCAGTTGTTGATACAGCATAATTTAAAATATTTACATAGGTAAGGCTGCTGGATGGTTCTATGCAAGCCTGAATCAATTAAGCATGGATAATCAAAATGCTTGCCGGGTTCACTGCTTATTTCAAAACTAAAATGCAAAACTAAAAATAGGATTCCATCCAGTCAAGGTAGTATCAATAGCAATCATTTTACTAATTATTTAATGACATCTGTTTCTAACACTTTGTCTTTTCTGTTTATGGTGTTTGATAACCATCCGTATTAATGCAGCAATGACAATAATAGCCATGTTTTTCAGCAAGTTACATAACAACAGTAGCAACCTTTTTCAATAAGCCAATATAATACGCTCCCTATAACTGTGATTGATTTGCATGCTTTATCATCAAGAGCATAAATGTGTTTGCAAAGTGTTGAAGCATTTTTTCTTTTTTCTAGGTCTGTCTTTTTACCACCTCCACCCAAATCTCCATCCTCACCATCACCATCATCTCCTTTGTCTGGTATGTCATTGCCTTTGTTAAACTTGTCACCACTTTTATTTGGCTTGTCTCTGCCAGGCTTGCTAGGTTTTTTTTATCTTTTGGTGGATCAGATACTAAACGTTCAAAAAAATTCCATATAGTCATTATCAGAACTCCTGCAATTAATATAAAAGTGTTAGAAGTATGCCCCATTTCTCATTATAGTTTTCATTTTAGAAGCTACTGGTTCTCTTACTTTATAAGATACATTGCAAGTGCTACCTAATATAGTCCTAAACTTGAGTTGTTAATCTTCATAATTTTCTTAAATCTTAAATAGGATTGCTCTTGCATTTTTTAATAATTCCTTTTGTGTTGCAATTTCTGACTTTTTCACTTCATTAGTCACCTTTGAGTTTTGATATTTTTTTTTAGCTTTTTCAAATTTTTCATTTCCTTTGAATGATTCACTTTGTGCAACATTTATTCATAGTGTCATTTTTTTTCCTCTATCAAAAGGTTATGATATATTTGAAATCCCATTCTATTTTTTCTTTAGTATATTCACTAAAGTGTAAATGACTTTTTCTTACCTCTCCCTCATTGAGCTATGAATGATAGACTGATGCAGGGCATTAATGACCAATGTACTTAAAGCTCAACCGGTAGCACTCTAGGACCACTGCTATCAGTCTTGCTTTCAGACAAGGGCCTACTCCTAACGGTCTAAGTATTGCACTCAACCTGATTTTGAACTATTCAAGTCAAATCAGAATCAATATTTTTCAGTAGTTGGTTAAAAACTGTTAAACCCAGGTGATGGTATCAAAATTAATATCACCCATACAGTAGGGACTGGGGTAGTGGACATGTTGTTTTTGTTTCATTTTACTCGCTTTTTTGCAGTTTGAGCAGGGTTGTTTCTGTAATGTTGTTTACTAAATAA